CGGGTTCCCCACCAGGTTTGATGAAATTTCCATGTCTAAAACCGCCGCAACAAACATTTATTTTTAGAAGAATTTTTTCTCTGACTAGGTTTTGCGATATTGTTCAACTAAATACATAATTTCAAACCAAAACGTTATATTGAATGAAAAATCATATATATTGTTGCAATGAATTTATAATTCCACCAAATCCACTGTTTTCGATTTTCAATTTTGGAGTAGATTATATATTGCCTTTCATAAAAACAAATTGAAATATTTGATCTATTTGGTAGTTTATAATAAAAGCGAATTATTTTGAGATACTTTATAAAAACTGATTTTTTTCATTTTCTATACTTTTGTTGATAAAGTGTGGATAAATAAAAGAAATATGTTTATTTATATTTATATAGACTAAATGGTATAATTATATAATAACATTTAAAAATATAAATAAGATAGTAATTTGAAACTATTTAAAACATATACATGTATAATAAAAACTAAAAGATTAAATAATTTAAAACAATTTATGTAAAACTATGGGTGTAATATGGAACATCTATACAAATCACAGGGACTAATATAAAAATATTTAAATAAAACTTGAAATGAAAATTTGCCGTCCGTCCATTTATTTTAATATTAATAAATTGTACATGTCAACCGGCTCTTTGTCTTTCTTTGTCAACCTTTCATTTATTAATTCGCCTTAGCTGTCTTGTCTATTGCCATAAATTCATTTCGTGTTTCTTCCTAAAGTCTCTCAGTCATTCCTCACTTCTCTTTCCACTTCTTCTCTCTCAAACATTATCTCCAAGCAATCAATCATGGTTGCAAAAGGAGACCAAGAAAATGGATCACCAGTCTTAGATGGGACTAAAAACTCCCTTTTCCGATATAATTCTCCTCTCATTCAAGTAGGTTTAATCGGATTAGTTTGTTTTTGCTGCCCAGGCATGTTCAACGCCTTATCCGGCATGGGCGGTGGTGGTCAGGTTGACCACACCGCCGCCAATAATGCTAACACCGCTCTATACACCACCTTCGCCGTCTTCGGCATCCTCGGCGGCGGAATCTACAACATCCTTGGTCCCAGACTCACCCTCTTCGCTGGCTGCTCCACCTACATCCTCTACGCCGGATCCTTCCTCTACTACAACCACCACAAACATCAAGCTTTCGCCATCGTTGCCGGCGCTCTTCTCGGTGTCGGCGCCGGTCTCCTCTGGGCCGGCCAGGGAGCTATCATGACCTCATACCCACCTACCCACCGTAAAGGAACTTACATCTCTATGTTCTGGAGCATCTTCAACATGGGTGGAGTCATCGGTGGTCTCATACCCTTCATCATGAATTACAACCGCGAAGATGCGGTTTCCGTCAACGACGGAACATACATCGGATTTATGGTTTTTATGACGATAGGAACCCTACTCTCGCTAGCAATTTTACACCCGAGAAAAGTAATTCGGAACGATGGGTCTCATTGCACCAACATTACGTACTCCAATGTGATGACTGAATCAGTTGCAATCGCGAAACTCTTCACCAACTGGAAGATGTTGTTAATCATGCCTGCAGCATGGGGGAGTAACTTCTTCTACAGTTATCAATTCAATAACGTGAATGGAGCCCTGTTTACTCTTAGAACCAGAGGATTAAACAACGTGTTCTATTGGGGAGCCCAGATGATTGGGTCTGTGATGATCGGTTACATCATGGATTTCAGCTTCAAAAGCAGGAAGACGAGGGGGTTGGCTGGAATCGGAGTTGTGGCGGTGCTCAGCACGGGGATTTGGATCGGCGGGATGTTTAATCAAAGGGGTTATAACCACCATGATGTGGTGAGCAAGACGGTGAAGATTCTGGATTTCAAGAACTCCGGCAGCGATTTCGCTGGACCGTTTGTGCTTTATTTCAGTTACGGTTTATTAGACGCAATGTTTCAGAGCATGATTTACTGGGTGATTGGTGCTTTGGCCGATGATTCCGCCATTCTTAGCAGGTATCAATCTATCTATCCATCTATTTCAAGCAATTCTTCTCATTGTTTGTTGAGAAAGATTTAGAAATCTTATAATAATGGTGTTGCAGGTATGTGGGGTTTTACAAGGGAGTGCAGAGTGCAGGAGGAGCAGTGGCTTGGCAAATCGATACGCACAAAGTGCCATACATGACTCAATTGATTGTGAATTGGGTACTTACGACTGTAAGTTATCCATTGCTGGCTCTTCTGGTTATAAAAGCTGTGAAAGATGAAGATAAAGTTGCAGAAGAAGAGTCTCCTTCGGGTTTTCCAAACGCAGTAAAAGAGTCTAAAGGTGATTTTACAAAGTCTGTGGAAGAGTCAAATGGTGAATTTACAAAGTCAACTTAGAAAGAAGAGGATAAAAAATTTTGTTTATTGTTTTGATTTTTGTTTCTAAATGTGTTGGCTTTGTGGACAGGATGACTAATACGTGATTAAATTGTAGATTGTCTTTCTTCTATGTGGGTTTGCTTTGAACAACCTTAAAAGTGTCATTTTCAACACATAAATGAATAATGGCATAAATATTCCCAAGGTTGATTTTTGGTGACCTAAATTAGGCCATACCACCTAGCCCAAGAAATATTATGAGACGGGTAAATTAACAAGAAGCCCATACCTTAAGAGGTATGATAAAACCAAGAAAACACGTACACTATCCATTTTGGGAACACCTACACTTTCAAACCTAATAGTTTAAACATTTTTTAAAAAGTATGAACAACTCTAATTATTTAAGATGATTGCCCAAGTTCGAATTTCCATTTGAGAGGGACTATAATCCAACTTTCATACAATAGTTGTTTGCGTTATTAATCTTCATCACCATTCACTAATTTTTTATGCCACTAAACAATTTTCCAAACAATTTATTGACATATTTCGGCCTATGAATATGATTAAACTTTTTGGGGAAAAGTTTGGTTGGCTAGACGAAGATCATAACATATTGTTTTTGTTGTCGTACGTTATTTTTGTGGTTTCTTTTCAATTTCTTACCATTTAGGGGAAGAGGGTGAGGGGTTGTGCTACATTTTTTTTATTGTTATTAAAACAACAATCTAATATATACAAAACTAAAATTTTCATTAAACTAAAATGAAAATTACGTGATAATAAAATACAAGACAAATAAAATTAAAGCATAGGAATCTAAAGCATAAAAATAACACCACAGAAGTTTATATACCAGTACCATTTTGCGCAACCATGACAATTTGCCAAAATTTTACATAAAATAAATGCTCGTTCTTTTCTTGGCGGAAAACTGCAAGACCAATTTTTAACATCATTCAATCATTTTAATCATTTGGCAAATCACGTCTCACTTTATTAAGCACAACGTCAAACTCTATTACAATGTTGTTCGTGTTCTTTAATTTTGTTTAGATTTGATCTTTGTTTTCGTAACTACTTAAGTTCATTTCGATGAGTAAACGTTGTGTGATTTTGGTCTTAGAAGATGACTCACTTTGGTTGATGCCAACCCTCAGATCCTCCGATACATCCTCCCATGTATGATCCAAAGTAACTTATTTTATCATGCTCCATGGTATGATCAAGGAACCGAGTTGAATGTTTGAAGAAGACATTTTGAGAGAGGTAAAACGACTGTTTAAGTTTTGAGAGAAATGAATATTTAAGGTTTGAAAGTGATGAAAAATGAAGATACTTGTTGGTATTTACTTTGTTAGAAAAGTACTTTAAAATATGAGGTTTTGAAGAAAAATGGATAGTTTTTTGGAAAGTGGGGAAAAATGAAATTGAAAATAATTACCTCTTTCCTCTACAAGCCATTGCCAAGGGAAGCTTCCAAGATCGACATACTAACCTAAGGGCGTGGGGTGCACCGAGGCCACCAGAACATGTCGAGGTGCCTTATTTTCCGACTCTATATAGTCCTCAAGATCAAAGGTTTAATCTTATCTTTGAAACATGTGCTTGCATGTTCCTTTGCTTTATTTTGGGCTTTATCTTGTTGATTAAATCATTTTCTATCATTTCACATGTTTATTATTTTATTTTATTCTAGTCGTTTCATAATTTATAATAAAATTTTATTTTAACTTAAAGCATCTCCGCTCATGTAACACCGTAAATTATCAAACCAAAATTTTTCATTTTTAAAACCAAATTTTCAAACCAATATTTGGCAAAGTTTTCATTTTTTTATTGTTATTAAAAAAAAACAATCTAATATATACAAAACTAAAATTTTCATTAAACTAAAATGAAAATTACATGATAATAAAATACAAGACAAATGAAATTAAACCATAGGAATCTAAAGCATAAAAATAACACCACAGAAGTTTATATATCAGTACCATTTTGCACAACCATGACAATTTGCCAAAATTTTACATAAATTAAATGTTCGTTCTTTTCTTGGCGGAAAACTGCAAGACCAATTTTTAACATCATTCAATCATTTTAATCATTTGGCAAATCACGTCTCACTTTATTAAGCACAACGTCAAACTCTATTACAATGTTGTTCGTGTTCTTTAATTTTGTTTAGATTTGATCTTTGTTTTCGTAACTACTTAAGTTCATTTCGATGAGTAAACGTTGTGTGATTTTGGTCTTAGAAGATGACTCACTTTGGTTGATGCCAACCCTCAGATCCTCCGATACATCCTCCCATGTATGATCCAAAGTAACTTATTTTATCATGCTCCATGGTATGATCAAGGAACCGAGTTGAATGTTTGAAGAAGACATTTTGAGAGAGGTAAAACGATTGTTTAAGTTTTGAGAGAAATGAATATTTAAGGTTTGAAAGTGATGAAAAATGAAGATACTTGTTGGTATTTACTTTGTTAGAAAAGTACTTTAAAATATGAGGTTTTGAAGAAAAAATGGATAGTTTTTGGAAAGTGGGGAAAAATGAAATTGAAAATAATTACCTCTTTCCTCTACAAGCCATTGCCAAGGGAAGCTTCCAAGATCGACATACTAACCTAAGGGCGTGGGGTGCACCGAGGCCACCAGAACATGTCGAGGTGCCTTATTTTCCGACTCTATATAGTCCTCAAGATCAAAGGTTTAATCTTATCTTTGAAACATGTGCTTGCATGTTCCTTTGCTTTATTTTAGGCTTTATCTTGTTGATTAAATCATTTTCTATCATTTCACATGTTTCTTATTTTATTTTATTCTAGTCGTTTCATTATTTATAATAAAATTTTATTTTAACTTAAAGCATCTCCGCTCATGTAACACCGTAAATTATCAAACCAAAATTTTTCATTTTTAAAACCAAATTTTCAAACCAATATTTGGCAAAGTTTTCATTTTTTTATTGTTATTAAAAAAAACAATCTAATATATACAAAACTAAAATTTTCATTAAACTAAAATGAAAATTACATGATAATAAAATACAAGACAAATGAAATTAAACCATAGGAATCTAAAGCATAAAAATAACACCACAGAAGTTTATATACCAGTACCATTTTGCGCAACCATGACAATTTGCCAAAATTTTACATAAAATAAATGCTCGTTCTTTTCTTGGTGGAAAACTGCAAGACCAATTTTTAACATCATTCAATCATTTTAATCATTTGGCAAATCACGTCTCACTTTATTAAGCACAACGTCAAACTCTATTACAATGTTGTTCGTGTTCTTTAATTTTGTTTAGATTTGATCTTTGTTTTCGTAACTACTTAAGTTCATTTCGATGAGTAAACGTTGTGTGATTTTGGTCTTAGAAGATGACTCACTTTGGTTGATGCCAACCCTCAGATCCTCCGATACATCCTCCCATGTATGATCCAAAGTAACTTATTTTATCATGCTCCATGGTATGATCAAGGAACCGAGTTGAATGTTTGAAGAAGACATTTTGAGAGAGGTAAAACGATTGTTTAAGTTTTTGAGAGAAATGAATATTTAAGGTTTGAAAGTGATGAAAAATGAAGATACTTGTTGGTATTTACTTTGTTAGAAAAGTACTTTAAAATATGAGGTTTTGAAGAAAAAATGGATAGTTTTTTGGAAAGTGGGGAAAAATGAAATTGAAAATAATTACCTCTTTCCTCTACAAGCCATTGCCAAGGGAAGCTTCCAAGATCGACATACTAACCTAAGGGCGTGGGGTGCACCGAGGCCACCAGAACATGTCGAGGTGCCTTATTTTCCGACTCTATATAGTCCTCAAGATCAAAGGTTTAATCTTATCTTTGAAACATGTGCTTGCATGTTCCTTTGCTTTATTTTAGGCTTTATCTTGTTGATTAAATCATTTTCTATCATTTCACATGTTTCTTATTTTATTTTATTCTAGTCGTTTCATTATTTATAATAAAATTTTATTTTAACTTAAAGCATCTCCGCTCATGTAACACCGTAAATTATCAAACCAAAATTTTTCATTTTTAAAACCAAATTTTCAAACCAATATTTGGCAAAGTTTTCATTTTTTTATTGTTATTAAAAAAAACAATCTAATATATACAAAACTAAAATTTTCATTAAACTAAAATGAAAATTACATGATAATAAAATACAAGACAAATGAAATTAAACCATAGGAATCTAAAGCATAAAAATAACACCACAGAAGTTTATATACCAGTACCATTTTGCGCAACCATGACAATTTGCCAAAATTTTACATAAAATAAATGCTCGTTCTTTTCTTGGTGGAAAACTGCAAGACCAATTTTTAACATCATTCAATCATTTTAATCATTTGGCAAATCACGTCTCACTTTATTAAGCACAACGTCAAACTCTATTACAATGTTGTTCGTGTTCTTTAATTTTGTTTAGATTTGATCTTTGTTTTCGTAACTACTTAAGTTCATTTCGATGAGTAAACGTTGTGTGATTTTGGTCTTAGAAGATGACTCACTTTGGTTGATGCCAACCCTCAGATCCTCCGATACATCCTCCCATGTATGATCCAAAGTAACTTATTTTATCATGCTCCATGGTATGATCAAGGAACCGAGTTGAATGTTTGAAGAAGACATTTTGAGAGAGGTAAAACGACTGTTTAAGTTTTGAGAGAAATGAATATTTAAGGTTTGAAAGTGATGAAAAATGAAGATACTTGTTGGTATTTACTTTGTTAGAAAAGTACTTTAAAATATGAGGTTTTGAAGAAAAATGGATAGTTTTTGGAAAGTGGGGAAAAATGAAATTGAAAATAATTACCTCTTTCCTCTACAAGCCATTGCCAAGGGAAGCTTCCAAGATCGACATACTAACCTAAGGGCGTGGGGTGCACCGAGGCCACCAGAACATGTCGAGGTGCCTTATTTTCCGACTCTATATAGTCCTCAAGATCAAAGGTTTAATCTTATCTTTGAAACATGTGCTTGCATGTTCCTTTGCTTTATTTTGGGCTTTATCTTGTTGATTAAATCATTTTCTATCATTTCACATGTTTATTATTTTATTTTATTCTAGTCGTTTCATAATTTATAATAAAATTTTATTTTAACTTAAAGCATCTCCGCTCATGTAAC